TCTGCTGGTGATATGTTTCCTGGGGAAGTAGATAATAATGTTGACACAATATTCAGTTAGATACAGTGTCTTTGAAAATTTTTAGAGTGAAATATTGATTTTTTTGGCGGTGCACAATAGATTGGACGACTTGAGATATTCAATTTTTCCGACGACCTTTTTCCTGCTTTTTAAGTTCGCATGTACTCACGTATTATGTGAAGTATACGCGTTTCATAAACGAAGCCTGGATTCGAACTGAAGCGTTACTTCTTCTTGGCAAGGGTGATCTCCAAATCTCTAAGGAACCCTCATTCCTAGGAATGCAGTTGCAACTGTGATCAAGAATCATTCTTAAACTGTTCTTGAGAACAAGATGGTTTGGAAGTCAACTGTTCCCGAGCGCGGCAGGCGCTGCTTGATTAATTTGGCATTGAGTTCCACAAAGGATTGCCTATGAATTGGCTGTCGCTTGCGGGATTGTCGTTTCGAAATGGACCGTGTCTCGTATGTTGAAAATATCGGACCACATAGTTCGACAATAAATAAAGCCGACACTACGCCTGACTCAATATCATCGACATAAGCGGCTCCCTCTTGCGAGGATGAGGATTGCAGAGATTGGGCAGCGGAGTGTTCTGGGCATATTTCCAGCTTTATGTTAAATTCAAATTTCTCATTTCTATTTTTCCTACGGTAATTTCTTTCGATGACATTTTGTTCGGCGGAGGTGAGTAGTGTTAACGGCACTCGAACTGGCGCTCTTGCAGAAGTGAACCAGTACTGGTGCTCGAAGCAACATCTGTGCATTCTCCTGAATGGTTTGGTGGGCGTCCTCTAGTGATGGTAGCCTTGACATTCATTTTAATTCTTGTGAATGAGAAGCCAGAACTATCAGTCACTCCTCAACATCACGCTGGTACCTTTCGTTTCTTGAGACTTCAAAAAGCACTTCATCTTCGGGCAAAAGAACACTTCGAACCTAACTTCGTGAAGCACTCTGTCCCACTTTCAATCTAATACCAACCCATTATTTTCTTCGCCGGCATGTAATCCTGATACAAACCTATCGGGAATACATAGGGTATACTGATGCGTAAGATCTACTGAAATGGGACAGCGTATGACAATGTTCAACCGCTAAGAAAAGGCATTACAAAGGAGTGGAAAACTCTACCGCCTCTGCTGCTTAGAATGCGCTGATTTAAAATCTGATTCCAGCCCTAAGCTCACAGAGAAGAAGGACCCTTTGCTCATACTTAGATGGGAGGAGCAGACTTTACGTCTTGTTTTTTGATCCACAATACATATCGTCCAATCTATTATGCACCGGCTCAAAAAGTGAAAAATTGTTGTCACAAACTTTGAAAAAAGTCGTAATGTCAAATAAATATCACAGATATTATTCCTTCGTCTATTTTTCTAAATATAGTGTAGGCAGAAGCAACAAAAATTTCGGGCTCTCAAGAAAATTAAGTTTTCTATGGGGGTGCAATCTATTGTGCACCGCGGTGTACGAACAACGAACGCACTGATCAAGATAATCCATAAGAAAGCGGAGAAAAGGGAAGGTCCTGGCTCAGCCCCACTAAAGTAGTCGCTCGCGTGGATAGAGGTATGGTCCGCCAGTTTGTCAGAGGTGGTCTGACCACCTACGCACATGTGAAAGTTCACTAATATCAGACGCGGGGCGTAAGCAGATCATAGCCAGCGTAACGATCTGAATCTCCCTCTCCGCGGACTCACATCTCTCATCTCCATGCCTGTCTTACAGCGAGAGGTTTTTAGAGATGGGAGGTTTCTGGAGAGCGGTTTCTGCACTGTAGAAACTCAATACGCGGACTGCAATACGCGCGTCCATTTCGCTAGGCGGCCGCGCGAAAGGCAAAAAGTTATGAAAAAGTGGTCCAAAGTTCGATCCCCGTGTACAAAAATTTTGATTTCAGGTTGGGGCTTCCAAAGTTCCTTCCAATGTGTCATCACCAACAGCAGGTGGCATATATTACAAAAGAGCCGGTGCTTCTTTCACCTGGAGCTCCATATATATCATCTCAACGGTGTAAAATAACCCGATCTGAGCAAATTTTTTCGATCCTTTCTGACCTTCAGAGGGCCACAAAGCGAAAAAAGCTCAGCTTTGTTTACGTGAGAGCCACTGCAGTACGCAGAAAACCGTTTTGAAAAAGCGCCCCTAACCTGAAAGAACTCCCTTTTTACACTTCTGCGCAGCGTTGAGCAAGAGGGTACGTTTCTCGTGAGTTTTATTTTCACATTTCTTCGCCTTTTTTCTCCACTTGCGGGTCCGCCTCCCATCCATACTTTGACATATGAATGAGATAACATTCAACAATTTAATCATGATCCGCCCTGAAGGATCGAGAAATTAGGATTTCGGCTCTGACATTACATAAGTATCTGACAAGCCACTGACCAAAGACAAGGCCTCGCTTTGCAGCGTTACTAATCCCGATGCGGTCCATGCAACAAATTATCATGTGGGCGTTGATAATACATGGCATATCATTATTAGGAAAAACTAAAAGATGCGGCCGCTCAACATAAATGCAATCCTAAAATCACGAGCAAAGTACGACGGAGGAGGACGGATCAGACCACGACAGGTCGCGGTTGGGGGTTAGCTACGTGGCGACGGGCGCACCCTCCACGGCTATGCATAACTGTGCTCTTCTCAAGGGTCCACCGTCCTTCTGTATATGTGTACCTTCCCTTCTTTCACATCCCATTATATGTAGTAGTATCATCCTTGTTTGATAAATGAGCTCACCTTGGATGTACATGCTGAGCACATGAAGCAGTGTTTGTTGGCATTGGAAACGTACCTCTCGCAGAATTCGCAGAACCTTGAAAGAGGGAATTCAAGCGAAGTTCATTCAAGCCGACTACAGCTGAAAATCAACTGTAACCGCTTCAACTTTGGACAAATCGACAAACGGGACTTCAGGTTTGGTGAAGCATCTAACAGTGGTTTTTGAAGCCTTCGCAAACACTTTGTGGTTGTCGTATGTCACCGAAAACGAAAAAAGTTAATTTCACGAAAAAGAAAAAACCTGCAGATAGCAGACTTACTCTATAGTCACTCATCCAGTAGTCCTTATTGCTTCGTAAAATGTACTTGCAACGAACATCGGAATCACAATGCACCCGTAAAAACTCCGCCGATTTCTCACCGCTAAAGACTGGGAAATTAACACTATTAAGTTAATCGCTATCTATGATTTAGTAACTAGCAATAATAATAGATTAAGCTTTGGCAGTAGGTCGTAAGGTTGCACAAAACTAATAAAATGCCATGCTATTGGGTCACAGAATCACAGCGAACTGTATGGTGCGCTTCATAACTATAAGGTCACCCTAAAATATTGCATTTCCTGAACTTGCAGCCAACTGGTGATTTCTTCATGACCACCAAATGATTCCTTACTACGAATAACCCTGTATCGCAATTTTGGTGGGAGCGCTTTTCTTGTAGAAGTTTTTTTGTAATTATTTTTCGATTTTTGCACCGTTTCATAATATAAGGTCACCCTGAGGAAAAGAACAATTACCTAAGATTAATGACAGATAAAATAGACATAATAATGTATGGTTCTCCTTTATCAAGGGCAACATTGAATAGCCTCCGTGGCTCTACCGGAATTGAGATTCCAAGGCAGAGTGACCATCGATTCACCTTCGTGCTTCACGGGTTGCTTGTTTTTTTAGCTCTTCTGTGGTTCCTAAATCGCGTTTATCCGCATTCTTCATAACGAAGATGCTCCTAAGATATTCTGCTAGAATACGACTAGAACCTCAGCATATTCTGTTTAGTTCATCTGGGTTTCGAGAGAAATGCTGCTTCTGGTTGAATGACCTACATGGGTACCTGTGCTGTTCTGTATGACTACGTAGGCTAGCCGACTTCATCAGCTCAAGGGAGAGGTCAGGTGTACTTGCAAGGGTCTATGCTAATCTTTGGAGTCCATAGTGGAGTTCATGGAGGCGAAATTTTGAAATTTTTCAGTTTCACAGGCAGATTGGTTGTTTCTGATAATGTAGTATACATTTTCACAGGATGACCTTATATTATGAAGCGGTGCAAAAATCGGAAAATAATTGTAAAAAAAAGTTCGAAAAGAAAAGCTGCTCTCCACCAAAATCGATACAGGGGTTCTTCATAGGGAGGAATAAGCAGGTAAGACTAGAAAAATTGCCAGTCTGGCTTTTCGCGTCGCGAAATTTTTTGCTGAGAGCTCGTGGTCCGCCCTTGATCATAAGTGGACTGGGATTCTGCAGCGAGAAATTTCCGCGCTGCAAAAACCAAAAAAATCACTTTCTATCCTAGAGTCTCACACCCATGGCCTTTCTACGGAAGAAGATCACTGGCCATCTTGTAAGAAAACAACGATTTAGACAACTTTTTGCAAAACATTACAAAGAAGAAAAAGGGAAAGAAATCTCCGGTAGAAATAAATTATACGCAGCCCTGAACTAGACTAACCGTGCTTCCTTGTAGCGCTGTTGGAGAGATTCTATAGTATGCATGAGTGGCTCCAAGAATACTCCAAATGGTGGATCACATATCAGTAAAATTTTAGAGCACTTCTAAAGACAAACTAACAAATATTACAATAATCAAAAACTCAGCCTTTAAAAAAAAATACAAAAATTTGTAGAAAAGTTCATCAAGAAAGTCCTTGGGAAGCAACACACCGCGAAAAAAGTCTCGAATTTTTCCGGAGGCTTTACCATCATAGAAGTGGTCGACAAGCATGCTGTACTGAGCGTACTTGAGTTGCTGGGAAAAAAACTGTCCCTAAACGAAATAAATTCAAAAATGAACCACTTCAGAATTGTGATGGCTTATGTATGCGTGGCTACCACATTTAGGTACACAAAGCAGCCGCTGTAAGACCGACGTCACACTCGGCGACGGACAAGCGATGGAGCGATCGCGATCTACGCTCGACTATGAGCGATTGGCAAGCGATTGCGCAATCGCTTGCAAAGGGCAAAAGCGACGGGCGAATGGTCCCGCCCCTGGTCGATGCAGTCGGCTGCAGGTGTGCTCTCGGTCGAGCGATTGGCAAGCGACGGACAAGCGTCGAGCGATGAGCGTGTGACGTCGGTTCTCAGGCGGGGGCGCCTTTCCACACCACTCTAGCACCAATTAATGCAGCCTTATGTTACCGTAGGGAAAGCTCAGAAAACCAGAGCAAGATTCGTCTCCTGACTCATCACTTCCCAATACATTACGCCTCGTGCCATTCCAAAACAAATTCAACTCACATATCTTTCATCGTAGTCAAGGAGAAATAGATGACGAGTTTCATTTTTGTTCTTCCTGAGCGCTTCGAAAAGCTGAAAAATAGATTCTATCCTTTAGATGTGCATATTTGTAACGAACTTTTCGGCTCACAGTACCGGTTCCGTTCCAAAATCATTGAAGACTCACTCTAGGGACACCAAGACAAAGAACACCATCGACACCTGATCGCTCAACTGCTCCATGAAGAATGTCAATCGATTCGTCGGAGAAGAAAAATTGCTGGAGTCATAACACATATAAAGCGGCAGTTTTCATGAAATGAGTCAAAACTCACTGCTTCTCCACTCTGAGACTCTTTTGCAGCTAAAAGTCGTGAGGGAAGGCGAAGTTGTGCCCTGGTGACGACCTCTGCAGGGCACTTGTGTTTGGTCTCAAAAACGTCTACACATTTGTGACAGAAAACGAGCGTGGATGTTTTTGGAATTCCTTCAGTCTGCAAACACGAAAACTCTTCTTCAAAAGCTCAAACTCCAATTAAATTTACCCACTTCTTATTTCCACAAAAAGTTAAAGTACAGGCATGTCCCAAAAATTCATGATCGCCAAAACCCAAATAATTTATGCAGCCAAATGTACTCGATATTTTCAATTTACTAATGAGTCCCTCAAAAAGACCTCCTTGTATTCCGCTCCAATGGCAGGAAATCCCCACGATCTTTAGTTTGGCGGAAGATCTTTGATTGCGGTCTGCGGGGGTGCGTTCATTCGCATGCACGTGGCGGGTCCCCCAACAGAGGACAACGACGAATATTTTGCCGCTACCACAAGGGTTATACGGAAGATTATCAAATGATAGTAGGCAGCAGTGTCCATTATGCAGAGACCTGGGAGAGGGAAAAAAAAGCTGGCCATTCTTGCGGGAAGGGTGACTGAAACACTCAATCTCAAATTGACAGAAACACATGACGCTCCGTCGAAAGAATCTCCAAAGGAGGTGGAAAAGTCGAAGTCATCGATGGGGCAGATGGTAACTGAAGAACCTCATAGGCGTTCCTGCATGTGGAAGAGTGCCATCTCGTCTCGCGATATCAACAAGGAGGATCCTACTTACTATAAAGCGCTTCGTCTGTCTGTCGTGTGTCGTTCTGTATGTCTGTCACGAAATTCCCTAGCTCCTCGGGATCCGCCTGGAGGGACCGGGTCAAGTGTGGGATGGGTGGGCAAGGTCTCACGTAATACAAAACACACATCAGCTAAGCGGAGCCCCGCCCACAGAGGGCGTGGCGTGCGTCGAAATGAATTGTACCGAAGACCAAGATTTCGATTTCAGTGACAAAACGACCTCGAAACTGGGCCAAAAAGTGGGTTAAGGTGTGCATTGGTAAGTCACATCGAATTAGGGAGACCCACCCCCGGTGGGCGGGGCGTTCTCCAAAAAAGCAGTGCTTTATGAAAAATTTCATAACTCGGTTGGGAGAAAGCCTACAGAGCAGAAAACAATTTGGTGTAAGGGAGCAATGTCTAAGGTGTTTCCTGCATACATGACGTGGGCGGAGGCCCGCCCAGAATGGGCGGGGCGCGCTCTGAAGTGTACAGCATTTTCTACAAGCCCTCATAATTCGGGTCGGGGAAGTCTTAAAGAGCCGGAAAAAGGTGGATAGAGGTGTATGGAGGAGTGGAGGCCAGCTGTCAATGGTGGGCGGGGCTTGACCAAAGTGGGCGGAGTTTGCGACGAAAATTTATAACTCGGCTCCATGAAGCTCCGGAGGCTGGGGAAAAGGTGGATAGAGGTGGGTGGAGGAGTGGAGGCCAGCTGTCATGGTGGGCGGGGCTTGACCAAAGTGGGCGGAGTTTGCGACGAAAATTATAACTCGGCTCCAAGAAGTCCCGGAGGCCGGGAAAAAGGTGGATAGGAGGTGGGTGGAGGAGTGGAGGCCAGCTGTCAATGGTGGGCGGGGCTTGACCAAAGTGGGCGGAGTTTGCGACGAAAATTCATAACTCGGCTCCAAGAAGTCCCGGAGGCTGGGAGAAAAGGGAGTAGAGGTCGGCGAAGGAAAGGAGGTCAAATGCTATTAGTGGGCGGAGCATCGGACAAGTGCCAAACGGCATGGAGCAAGCATGGCACATAATTGGGCAAGTTTGCCAAAAGTGTCGTAATTTGGTTCCAAGAGGTCCCAGAGACCGGTGAAAAAGGGGTAGAGGTCGGCGAAAGGAAGGGGCCAAATGCTATTGGTGGGCGGGGCACGCACCGAAGTAGGCGGAGTTTGCCACGAGATTTATTGTCCGGAAGCAGTCCGGAGACCGAGAAAAAGAGGATAATGGTTGACGAAGAAAAAAAGGTTGAAAGCCGTCGATGATGGAGCGGATAGAATTTAGCTGAGGAATTCAGATATTCGTAGTGTATCAAGCCAAATTTGAAAATTTTTGTCGCACCATCAAAATTCGCAGCAGATCTGTGTTGCGCGCGCAATGCGTGCGGCGCCAACTGGTAAAGGATAAAGGATAAAGCATTTGCCGTTGATCAATCCCTTTTTGGGATGCGGCACGCATTCTACTTCCATTTGTACATTCGTAGTGGCGTTTGAATGCGATGTGGCCTATACAATGACTTGCGGGGGCCAGCCGATGTACAAGTCAGTGTTTTTATCCTCCCAGACAAGTCTGGTACCAATTAACCGACCCCGGAGGGATGGAAGGCTTGGTTGGCCCGGGCGACTCACGACCCAGGATTTGATCCCCGGACCGCTCGCGTGGTGAGCGTGCCACTTGCCACTACACCACTTCCGCCCTACAAGCAGCAGAGGGTCGAAAATGCAGAAGGTTGTTAACATGCTTGGTGAATACACGCACCCCTCTTATCCTTGCTTGAGGGAAAAATTTTACAGCCGTGAACGGTCCGGAATAGCAGAATGAGTTGCATTCTAGGCCAGAAAAATGTCAAGCAGTGCTTGCATAACGAGGAAAGATTTGTTTACAGTTCGCCGAAGTCCGCCCCAGCAGTGGTTTGAAGGAACAACACGTCCAGTGGCGAGAGTCCGTTAGTTTTTCGTCGATTTCGGTAGGGGCATCAATAAACTCGAGCGATTCCGGTAGAGGCATCAATAAACTCGGGCACATGAGGTTAGTGTAGTGAAGACTTAGCCCGAGCCCCACCATGGGAATTAACCCGAGGTGCTTTTAGCAGAAAATTGCTCTAGCTCACAGAGCCATGTCATCCAAGAGTGGTGACGGTTTCAGCAGCCCAACTTTGCTAGCACCGAGGAATGACCATTATTTTAATAAGGTCCGCACCCACCTCACTTCTCAGTGTGGTTTTTGAGTGGAAGTAAGGTCTGGCCAGTATCGGCATCAGATTTGGTTCCAGTGTAAGCAGCATTGAAGGAAGCCTTGGAAGAACTGAACGAGGAATAGCTGCGCCCAAAGCCCAGAAGCGACTTTGAGCATGCATTCTTCGCAGTGAATGACTTTCGGAATTCAGCGGTTCCATACATTCGCACATGATGAGAGTCAATTTAAATTCTTCAATTTAATTTAGGGCGAACCCCAGGTTCAACCCGACTAGTAGTAAGGATACGCCAAGGGCTAGGGTCCCTGCATGCATAGATCACTCCAGCTTCAAAGCTGCAGCCATTGACCTCCGCTGCAACGCCCCTCACCCACTGCAATTTCCGGGGATCAGCGTGCTCTCTCTAACGGCGATCTCTCTCTCGTGTTTTGTTCCCTTTGATCGCCTTGTCTTGTCATCCTACAATATGTAACCTTACTGGAAGCTTACTCCAAAAATTTCTCTTGCTTACCTTTCCACCTTAGTTCATTGCGAAGCTCAATCATCAATGCAAAGCGCTTTTTTGATCCAGTTTTATCCCGAGGTTTGTCTACAAAAGTTTGAAATGTATTGCTGTATATAGGCTCCCATAATCTTGGGAAACCATGTACTTACCCAAGCGGCCAAATCTCTTAGTTTTCGTGACAATGTTCTATTCAAACGATAACAGTTCTCGTGAAATTTATGATCGCTTGGAGGTTGTGCAAAAGACACACCAGCAAGCACGATCCTCCAAAGAACCCATTTTTCAAGTACGTTTCGCATTTATTAAAAAGCACATATTCAGAACAGAAACTCGGTTGGAGGTTGGCAAGGTCACACCTCGAGAAAATGACTTGCCAACGAGAGAACTGAATTCCTAGAGGTTGTTTTCTAAAATTTCCATTGTTCACTTTATAACATGGATTTTCGTAGTTAAAGGCGATTCTAGTAAGAACCGGAAAAAAAGTCTGTCACTAATATATTAGGTTGGTCCGTAATTCCTGCAACGGATGCGTGACTATTCAATCGTGGCGATAGCTAGGTCGCCGCGCCAGCCGCCGCAGCCCGCGATGCGACGTCGGCCGTGGTTAGAATTCAGGGTTCTAGCATTGGGGAATGTAGGATTAGATGAAGTTCCCAGTCGTGAAACACGGTATATGATCACCTGCCCCCTTAAAATACAGGATCCTTGTCCTTTGCCATTGTCACAAAACTTATTCTGTCAACTACTGCGTCTTGGAACGTAATATTTTCCCGATTTAGCCAGATTATCGCTCTGTGATAACAATTCAGGCAGTTGATCAATAAAGAAGTCATTATGTTCAAAAGGACAAACCTTTACATCGCACAAGCTCTGTACAGTGAGGCTTAAATAACTGCGGAGATCTTAAGGTGACTCTTGTTGGCTCACTGATGTCTGGAACTTTGGTCTTATCAGTTCTCTAACCCCACCAGCAACTTATGGACAAGGACCGTTAAGCCAAGGCCCATACAAAAGTCGCCGCACCATGCCGCGCGCGACGCTGCCCGCCGCGTAAGAGCGGCGTGACCTCATTAGCCGACGATTGAATTGACCGTCTCCCCAGTTATCCTTAAAGGAAGTAGGTACGAAAAGGAATTTTCACATCTGCGGAGAACCTGCTCCCCACAGCAACTAGCAGGCCGCCAAGGAAGCGATGTGTGGCGCTTGCACTGCGAACAGTGCTGTGGTTGCTGAGCAGGACCATTGCGCCCTTCCGCCCCATGCGCCGCCCCGCCCCATGATTCATCGGTGGCTTGGGCGAGCCGTGTTGCCAGCCGCAGCGCGGTTAGGGCGCCATAGCCTGCAGGGTGTATGTCGTTTGGCGCGGCCCTTCGCAGCAACTTTGCCATCGGGACGCATGGACCGTAATTGCCACACTCGCCCTCCCATGTCTTGGCCAAACAACTCGTCCACATCAGCTAACCGCTAGATTTACGTAAATGGCCGATCTACAGTGGAGCGCGCCAGAACAGCGTGCCCTCACTTTCCCAATCTCAATTCTTCTTCCGGCTTATTTCCTACGCTGACATCGCTTTGCACACTTCATCTGTTAGAATACTGTAAGGTTACTTCGAGGTGATTGTATCACAATCATTTTGGAGTTGTGATACAATGTACTTCCCAGCAACTTGCAGTTCATAAAACGATTTCCTTCGGTCTTTTATGTTAAGAAAACAGTTTATACGAAGTTCCATTGTAGTTTTATGGCTAGTGGTCTTTTTCCGGATACACTTGCTCTTTTTGAATGTGTGACATGAGCAGAGAAGTCTCTTGCTTTCGCGCTATGTGATGAATACGTGGAAAGCATTCATCATGATGGAAACACAAGCTCCAGGCGATCACTGAGAAAGGGTTAATTGTGCTGAGCATTTTGCTATTTTTCGTATCCTGTCCTTTTATGGTGTGAGGTTGAATTTATACGTCCGACTATGAGCTCAAAAGAAAGTGGAGATGTCCTCAACGCGCTGTTTCAGTCACATAGAAATCAACACTGCACTAGTCCGAGGTTCTGTTGCCATCGTGAGTTCAGTAAGTGACGCTGACACTGAATTGGTGAACTATAAAGATTAGGTATCCTCCCCACTGGAATAGATCCCACAAGTCTTCGGGCTACAGCTGATTCCGTGATCTGATGTGGACTCTCCGTAAAATTTACCTGTGATTGTCATCCGTAATGAGTATGACTTTGCGTCCATTGCGGCCCTGTTTCATTGGATGCTCCCTTCCATTTGGATACGGAAATTGATGTTTTCCAAGCCAGTGATTTACTTCTAGTTTGCCAACGGCATGTCTCATCCCAATCTCGTTGTATTTGGATCTCTCATGGGCATATTGGATGCAACATCGCACGTCTCATAGTCCCCTCTAGCAATAATTACTGAGAAATGTCATTCTGTTGAACTGGGCATAGCAACTCGTTAAAAGGAAAACTCAAAGAGGGCTGAATACGAGGGAATAGTACGGAATCTCTTATACGATACCATTCAATTTAAATGATGATAAAGTGCACGTTGGAGGAAAAATCACCAGTTCGAAAATTTGGACTTCAGAATTCTGCTGAATAGGGATAGCTAATGAAAAGGGTTCGCAAGCGGTGGCGATAACAAAAAGGACGAGGAGATCAAAATGCAGTGCAAAGATTTCAAGTTGGCTGGTGAGCCCTACGCTATTTATTTAGATTTGGACGATTCGTTCAACAAAAAGCAATACAAGGCGGTGGAATTGAAATTCATTATGAATAGGGTCGAGGCAAGAATTTCAAAACAGCTTTTTAATGTAATCAACGACAATAGATTTTCCCACAAACTGTCCTCTTGACAAGGTAGATTCACCTCATCATCTTGAGCATTCTCATTATGTACTGCAAGTTGCTGTGAAGTGGAATGTATCACAGCTCCAAATGATCGTGGCACAATCACTTCGAAGTAACTCTGCAGTTGGTTCGAATTGAACGTGCAGAACGAAAAGAAGTCGAAGGAAGAATCGAGATTGGTCGCGCTCCACTGTAGATCGGCCAATTATGTAAATCTAGCGGTTAGCTGATGTGGACGAGTTGTTTGGCCAAGGCATGGGAGGAGCGACGGTGGCAATTACGGTCCATGCGTCCCGATGGCAAAGTTGCTGCGAAGGGCCGCGCCAAACGACCGCCTCCCATGCCTGCTGTTCGCTGCCCAGCACGCGTTGCGCAATCTCGTCCACGCGTGCGCGGTCTTCGCCGCAGTCCATCTGAGAGCCGCAATAAACGGCCCAAAAGGGGGTCCCATTTCTCGTTTCCTGGACCGATTTCGCTGCTTCTTTCGCCACTGACGTACCATTGAGGACCCCCTCGTCCCCTCTAAACCCCATTCAAACCTAGCGTAACCGCTGCCTTAAACCTTTTCAAACGCACTACAAGCTAATCGATGCCTCTCTTGTAGAACCCCTGTAGACTTGAACGATTGTCTTCAGCGTTGACTGTGACATATGCAAGCACTGGTTTCAGTGCTCAACTCCTCTCGTGTTCACAGGAAAGGAAGGCCCGACTTGAACGAGGTTGAAATTTAGCAGTCCCATCCCAAACAGGGTCAACCGTCCGTTGGACAAAGTTCAACGAGGGGGTGGGGAGGGTCGTATCGAGGCCCTCCAGAGGGGAGAGGGGGGTCGTAAAACTTTCGAAATTGGTCCGACGGTTTTGACCTTGATCCCAAATCCTTCGAGTGAGAATATCGCTGCTTTTTCACTTGTTAGAACACTGCACGCTGCCCTCATCACAGGCCCGGCAAATACGATGGATGAATCGCACAGTAGGTCAACTCGAACATGACTATATCAGATTATGTTTAGAGCTAATTCGGAATCAAGGCATGTGGGACCCAAACTCTATGTATGTTTCCAAATCTTTACAATGAAACTATTATGTTTAATATGAAAACATCTTGAATCAAACTAATTAGTTTATAATGTCATTTTGATCATGATGTTTAACCGAAATTACACATTATTTTTCAAGCTTGTTCAAAATTAAGAGGGGGTGGTGATCAAAGGAATCGCTTGGTCTCCGTTTCGCACGTGACCCTTAGACGGAGACCAAACAAACGGTGTCTCCTCCCTCTGTGCTCATCAGTAAGGGAAGGGAGGAAAAAGAGTTTAGTTGAAATTAATCTTTAATAAGTAAAACACAAGCTTTTCAAATGTCAGGAAGAGCACACGGTGTGGTTGGTGTGATCACCTATCAAAAATAAAGGTCAAAGTTAAGCAAGTGAAGCGAGCAGGGAGATTGAAGGAGCATACCCACGCCCATCTTCTGCCCAATCCTTGGAGTAGCCTGACTTGCAGAAGATTCCAAGCTGTACTCGTGAGAATCATGGGCACAAAGAACTATGGAACGAAACCTAATAGATATGGAAACTGAAAAAACTTGGGTTGAAAACCAGCAAAGGACGATAGGCCTTCGGCTCGACGAAGAACACAGTTTTCAGGGAACGCATCACTCAAGAACACGCTTGACTACCACAAAGCTTGTATTTTTCTCAGTCGCTTCCATTTTCAATTCGAAACAAATGCAAGGGGGTCGTGCCGATAGAGCTTCAGAAATGAAAGTCGTACCAACTCGAAAATTCACCGTCGCCACGGCTGACCCAGAGAGTAGGAACCGAAATTCCTCATCCCCTTCTGAGCTAACGAATCACTTTCTAGCATTTAGTCCGCCTACGGCATTCTTCTTGTAAACAAATTACATCCACTTTGGCGCAACCACTAGGTCAAACTATTATTCAAAAATCTATTTTAAAGCGAGAGACAACGACATGATGTGTTGCAGCATGAAGTATGTTCACCGGTGGAGGCTGTAGTCAGAGGCCGGAAGAAGTAAGATGTGCCCTTTTCGTTGCCAAAGATGCGCTAGTTATATCACACTAGGCTTGCCAATCCTTACTGTGCTCCGCCTCCGCCTTGCTCCGTCAAGCAGTGTGTTGCCAGCAGCGGCATCGTTCGACGGACACTTTTAAAGGGTGCTATACTTCGAGCGGTCATATCCTCTGACTTTTATGAGTAATGCGTTGCTAATTAAAGCGGGTATTGCATGGCGTAAACGACCCTTCGCTTGATTGCTGGCTCGTTCGGTGCCAGGAGGTCAGCGAGCAAACAAAAGCTCTGTTTAGCATCCCACTTACACTGTAAATCAAGCTAATCTTCTATCCCTCGCTTTATAAAATTTTGCCTATGTTCCAGAGTAAAGTTCTTTCTCGTGGCGTTGTCACACTTTCAACGACCATATCTTCTT